GCCGGAACAATACTTATAAGGCAGGCGAGTGGGCTTTGTAGCAGACTACGACTGTTTCGTCCTTAACCTTACGCAAGAGTACAGGGGGCCAAAAAAGACACTTCGACCGAGTCACATATCAGCAAAGTTTTCGCAGCCCAGACAGAAGACGTGGATACGAGTACCAGGGCGGAAGATACCCAAGATGTTCCTCGATAAGCAGGAGCAGGCTCTCGCCCATCACCTTCATGTACACCAAAATATGAAGTCATCTCCAATCGCAGCCTGACTGGAGAAGGCCTATGGAATTCACGTCACCTCCAAACAGCTGCGAAACTTCTTGTATGGAGTCACCCATGGACAGCTACCTGGAGACCGGCACTCTTGATCTGGAAGACCTCCAACATCGAGCAGCTCCGACAACGTCGCTACGGTCCAGGACATCATCTTCACCAAGGCGCGAGTTGGTGGTATGGACCGGAAGTTCCTGGAATGTGAAGACCGATATTTTCTTCGTGGACCCCGGACTGAAAGTGAACGCTGACGGTTACATCGACCAACTCGAGGAGAATATCCTGCCTTCATGTCATCGATCGTCTTGAGAAGTTCGCATGCTACAGGATTGGGTGCCACCACATGGAATCGAAGGGCGTTGGAAAAACTTTTGCCTACTTGGAACGAAAGGGCGTTGAGTACCTGAAGAAGACGGATATCTAGCGACTTTACTGAACCCAGGCATCAAATCACGATCGCGTGCCAGAATCTCTCGAAGCTGTGGCGGAGTGTCATGATAGTGTACAATGTGCTGTTGAATATGGTGGTGGAAATGTCCATCAGAATTTAATAAAGTGTAACTTATATCGCCTTGAAAGTCGAGGAAGAAAAGTGTCTTTTTGAGCCCCTCCCTGATATTTTGAGTAGCAGAACTCTTGCGGACCATGTGCTGCTGGAGCTTATTTCACAGTTCCTTTGACCCATTTCAAATACTTACTCATAAATTTTAATCTATAGAGAAAACTCATCTGGATGTTAATTCAAATCCACTAAAAAAACTTACCAACTCACCTGGAAGGTAAATGATTTCGTGAGTTGGAGGACGATAAAACCTGGCTGTTTAGGTACCTGCTGCTCACTTTTGTACTCAACGTAATCACAATTTTGATTACGATTGTTATTATCAACGTTTACTTCCGCAGCCCAACGACGCATCGTATGCCAGAATGGGTGCGCTCGGTTTTTATAGAGGTACGATCCAATATTCTAGAATGTAAATGTAGACGTCAGTGATCAGAAATCCGCCATTAAATCTGTACAGGAACTCTAGAACAATTATATTCCCACTTCCGGCTCGAGATGGTGCGTACTGCAGTTGATATCGTCGACATTAGTGGGAGTGCTGCCAAGAAAGATGCGCTGCGTTTTCGCAAGTGGTTGTTTTCTTCCTAAAGCGGTCACTACTGGTGGACAAAGTCAGCCAGAGACGGGCTCATTCCCAGGGCACATCGTTGTTGGGGAATACCCCAATAGGGGGGGGGTCGTATTTGGTCGTTAGGAGGGGGTCGTATTTGGGCTGAGATATTTTGATAGTTGATTTTTCTCGCTTCATGGACGTTGTAAAGGGAGGGGGGGTCGTATTTGATCATTTTTGGGAGGGGGGGGGTCGTATTGTCTCGCGGCTTTTCCTGTTTCACATGTGCTATTTTACCTATTTACCCCTCCCCCACGTTTCGTGCGGCTCGGGTTCCGATGGAGGAAGGACAGAAGCTTCGGGGGAGGCGTCCTATAGAGTCGACTAAAGTTCCCAAACCAATTGAGTGCTGCTCCAATCGCTGCCTTTCCGAGCATTTCGTAGTGGCCCCTAACAGATGATATTGAGACTTGATATCATCTGATGGGCACGTTTCGGGAGCTGAATCCTTCTCTTCCCCTTTAGTCTCCGAAAAAATTAGTACCCAGATATTTCCCGAGCAAATGGACCACGAACTTGCTCTTTCCCGGCTAACTGAGCATTCCATTCCTACGGGTATGCTACTTGGTACCGGTTTCGTCCAAAGCGATCAAGGGACCGATTTGTACATCGGGCAGTCCTCGCTCGCTATTCCAAGGAAAGGCCTTATGCAAACGCCCATAATTTCGAATGAGGGCTTTATGCCCGGCGCACCCATAAAATGAGAGAAGTGTTGTATTCCAGTGGATGCCGTTCCTAATGTGCATGCAGCGACCGAAATCGGCTTCACGGAAAATGATGGTTAGAAAGAAATGTGCTATCGCTGTTGCTCAGTTACCTGGTGTAGGAAAGTTCACTCTCAACCGTGCTCGGCATCATCCATTGTGCCCAAGTGCAGATGACAGGTACTTGATCTTTGGTAGTAACAGAAATTTTCAGAACTGTCTGATAAGGTGATAATCAGGCCAAGCAGTGCGACAACTACCTTTTAAGGACCGCCTCCGTAAAAGTGCTGAATTGCGGGAATGACATGCCTCAGGATCCTGAGACTGCAATGTTCTACCCGCTTTCGCCTGATGCACTTCGTGCCATTGACGCTATCGAATACATTACGGATCATATTATCCAAGAAAAAGAATACAAGATGGTAATTAATGAACTTTTACTTTCTGTAACTTCCAGAAACAATATTCGGTGCAGTTTGGCTTGGGGGAGGGAGTAAGGGATTTCGCACTCCCCTTGTCGGGTTCGTTGCATTACAAGAGTTGGCAGGTATTCTTCACAGGAGCTGACAAGTGATCTTATCTCTACTTGATGCAGAGACACGACTATGGGAAGTAATGGAAGTGCAGAAACCCCCTTCCCCCAATTTGAAGTGCTCCCGATATTCCAACTCATTGACGGATTAAGGGTGAAGGGAAAGGTCTATGTGCCTTTCCTCACACGTTTGCTTGAACTGATGAAAATCTGAAGTATAGCCGGACACTGCTCGAACATCAGGTGGTTTTGTCTCCTTGGCCTTTGGTACAGAAGTTCGACTCTCTGCTCCCGTCCACATCAAAACCTGAAAAGACCGTTTGCAGCTATCCCCCAGCGGATGGAACTCTCCCAAATTGTGCGGGGTCGATGCCGAAATCTCTCAATCTTTTATCGGACTTCTGCCAAAACGATATCGAACGCTATCAGCGATCGATCACTAAAGTTGAGCTTTCATAAAGTGAGAAGGTATTAGCTGATATCGATTGAAATCGCCGGACTCCACCAGAAGTGCCGGAATATAGCATAGGTCCACGGGATTGTATGGAATCATAGTTTATTGGTCTTCACTGAGTGAAAGGGGGCCATTTCGGCAAGAGGGGGGGGGGAGTATTTGGCACTTTGCCACTCCCTATCGATGTGGCGACCCATACAGAGGCCGTTTCGTAAGCTCACGAAAGCTGACAGGATTTACCATGATGGCTGGACGAGCTTGCTCCAGCTTCACAAGAGTTCACAGGTTTCACCAGAGTGAGACTTGTAAACCGGAACTAGTGAAGCAAGAGAAAGTGCAGAATGCCCCTTCGCACCGACATGTGGATTTGGCATACTGGCGAATGGTGAATCAGAGAAAAGTGCAGAATGCCCCGCCCGCATCCCCTGCCCCCTTCCGGTCGTGACTAGGCCTGAGTGTTCTGACCACCAGGAGGGACAGGTAACCTTACGGTCATTTTGAATGTTCACTTATTGATATTATTCTCACAATATTTCCTGTGATCTGCTGCATTCTCTTTAGCAATGTGAGGACTGGAAGTTCGTGGCGATGATTATCGATCGATTATTGTTGTACACTTTCTTTGGGATCACCGCAGGTGGCACATGTGGCATATTATTCAGTGCACCATCCGTATTTGAAGGTGAATAATGTTTTCGTACGAATTTGAGCACACCCCCCCCCGCGCACCTCGACAGCTCGATCGCTTCAGAGGAGGGAGCTAGCGGGGGAGGGGGGGGGGGGGGGCCGCAGTACCCTACGTACCTCCGCAACGCAGTCAGCACTCCGGCGCTGGTGTAGCATACTGACAATACGTACGAGGAAGGGGCGATGATAGGAGCTACGATCACCGCCCACAAGGGCCCCATGAATTTATAACAAACAAGAGGACTCACGACGTGACGATTAATAAACAGATGAAAGTACATTCCCGGACTTTTCAAGCAGGAGCCACTATTTGCTTGGAATTGGGAAGCCATATCTAAAAGTTAACCCATTTCAAACCCTGCGTGAAAGCCCAGCGTATCAAGGGCGCACCCGTCGCATATGTGGATGCAATTTGGCACCGACAATGGGCTAATTACCGTGATTGCTACGAAAACATGTGTTTCAGAAGCATACCAAAGTCTTCGAGCCAACTGGAGGTTTCCTGGCCTCGGAGGGGTTGATTTTTCGGTGTCGTGGGGGGTGATTACAAAATGATCACAACGGGGAATTTTTTCGAATAGTAGGTCTAGGAAGGAAATTAAAACCTTGCTGGAAAGTAGAAATCTTCAAGCTTCCGGCACAGTTCTTTTTTTACGAAAGGTCGTGTATGAAGCTTGCCATGGACGTCCAAAGCGTAGCGACTCGCGGTTCGCAAAAATGATCACAGATGGATCACAAAGATGATCACAACGGGGAAAATCTCTGGAACCGGAACGTTTTTGAATGCTCATTCAGGGTGATATAAGAGCCAAACCTAGCTCTACTCATTCCCACTTACCCCTCTCCGATAGCTTCACTTTCAACGAAGTTATGGGTGTTCAAATGAGGGGTACTTTTCACGTGTTTGGCTTGAAATTGGCTCCAAACCGTAAAATAGCGCGCACCAATGCGCTTGTATGAGCGCGCTGACCGCGAACACTCCGAAAGATTTCAAGAAGTAATGCAATAGTTCCGGTTGCCCAGCTGAGCGTGAGTTTTTGGTCCTTATCCTATTATATGTGAATCCCTTGTGTAGTGATTTTTGTTGACGTTTGAATATTGTTTTGGATTGAGTGTTGTTTTTGTGTGAGGATAATTGCTCAGATATTCAATTTCTACGGTTTCATAGGTAGCTTTTGCAATGGATTCTTTTCTAGATTTTGCGGATTAGTGGATTGGGATTTATCTAGACCAATGAGGAGGGTTGGTAGGCGAAGTGAAGTTTTTTTTTGTGAGGAAGGAGGAAAAAGTTTCAGCAATTTTTTTAGTTTTTGGCCTAGGAATAGTTCGATAGTGCCTAGTTCTATTTATTGTCATCTACATCGTCCCTTTTGAGCTTCTTTTTACTTGTACCGTGTATCACCGCTCTCTCCACTTCAACATGGGCCATGCGTTTACGACCCCCCCCCTCCATCGCGGGCAAATACGACCCCCCTGTTGTGATGATCACAAAGATGGCGTGCCCTGGGGGGGGAACTCGTAACAAATTCCCCAAACCAATGAATGTGGCTCTGGCCCGAAGTGGTAGTCGGAGCCGAAGTCAAACGACACCACCTTCTTATGGCTTGTAAAATCCTGCAACCAAATAGGCTTGTACCATTTTGTAGCTCCACATGAGTTTACAAGACTTCAAACTGAGACCTCTTACTAAACACAAGCTAGCTACAGAAACTAGCGAAATGTCCCCCTCTAAGTCGAAACGGCGCCGAAATCTGGCAAAATTGCGCATATGTCACCCTGAATCTCTTCAACTTCTCTGAATTTTCTTTCGAGTCCCTGGGTGTATTTTGGAAGGGAAACTGCAGCTGTGGTTGACAATCGTGAAGCATATTGCATTAGAACTGCACACGAACGCATGGCATGGGCAGTGGAGTGCAAATATTGATTGCAGAAAAAAGGACCTCTAGAAGGGAGAGAGCCCGCCTAACGTCTTAATTGGCCCTAATTTTTTTCGCAGTCAATTTGTTCATAAAGCCACACAGTTGAAACAAACATTAGAGGCTCAACCGAGAGACCACCGACAAGGCGAGAATGTGCAAATGATTGCCAACCCACAATTTATTCAGCCATAGGCGGAGTTGGCAGTGGTGGGGGCTCTTAGACGAGGCGTAAGACAGCCCATGTGAGAAGTAACAGCACCAGCGTATAAAAAAGGTGATATATTGCGGGCTACGTTGAAATCTGACAACCTCCCCCCCACCCGGCGCCGGTGCCGAGCAGCAAAATTTTGGGGAGAAACCAGAAATTTTTCGGGAAGTTTCGGAAAAACTGGTAGGATGTTTGGGAAATTCTCCCGTTTCACACTGGCTAATATGCGAGTGAGTTGGCGCTGTCATGAGTATGGCTTGGTTGGGCTACCCTTTGTATTTGGAACTTCCTCCTCACCCCTCCCGCTCCCCATAATTTCGCGCTGAAGATTTGCCCATGAATTTTATAGATTTCCTCGCCCTATGGAACTGTTTTTTTTATTCATTTTTTTCTAAGATTCTGTATGCTACGATTTATTACCTGGCCTACAATGAGGTGGATCCAAAATATAAGGAATTCTTTAAGGCAGTTTTCTCTTCTTTAATCCTATTGAAAAAGTAAAAGCGGCAAGGGCTAAATCTAATTACATAGTGTAGGTTTCGGTAGGTTATGGGAGATATCATGAAAACCTTACTCAGCCAAGAATGATGAATTTCGTCTACCGTATTAGATATGAGAACAGCGACTGCGAAGGACGATAAAGCAACGGCGGGATGCTTACTTAGCGCACGTTCCCATAGACCACATAAATGGATCTCTAAATAGCTGCGGGAAGATCTGATATGGGATTAAAAAATGTCACGAACTTGGACAACCTAGTATGTCTGGCACATCCAATAAAGACTGATCGTGCTGGTATAATGTTCATACGTACAAACTATTCAGGTGTGAATCAACGTGAAGTGCTGGACAAGCTTATCAACCTGTATAAAACCGGTGGTATCCCGTATTATTGATGGCGGGTCACTGCGATGCTTTCACAGCTTTTGTTTGTCAGATTGTGGCCTTACAAATGTGTTTCAAAAGCTTTTTATTAATGTGGATATTTGCTCGTTTTTGTGTATTATGAGGAGGGCAGGGGAAGAGAGGGGCTGTTTCCTTGCTCATGCGACCCTCCATCCAAATCCTTATACTCGAAGGCAGAGACTAGTTGAGCTACTGTAAGTCTTCTAAGAGTTAGTTTGTCATATCACGCTTCAAGTCGGCATCGTCGAAATCTCATCTACTGCCATTTCCCTTATTTTTTTTATAATTTGTGGAATACAGTGTGTATAGAAAGTCCCTAATGTTTCATACAAGAAATACTGCTGGACCCATGAATCACACCTGCTTGTCATTCAGTATGATATGGAAGGTCCTCAGAACCGCAGTAAATTAACCACTAGTAGCTGCGATTTTCAGCTGTTTCTTTATTGAGAGTCTCCCTCGGCCTTTTTCCGTCTCGGGCACTTGTCAAGCTGAGGACCCCTCCTCCTCTTCGTCTGTTTTCTGCTCGTTTCTTCTTTTCTCCTCCTCCTCGCTGTTAGCCTTTTACTTCAAGCTACTGACTACTAAGTGCCTCGAATAAATACCCCTGGTTCTCGAAGCGAGCTCCTTTCCGGTTTGAAGGGCGTTCATGCGAAAGGTCGTCTGATTGAACAAGCTGTCACTGGCGCCGTCGGCGTTGGTAGGCTCCTGTCAGGGCACATCATTAGTTGGGGATTTCGGTTGAGTGCATACGACCCCCTTTCTTTAAGAGGTTGGTACCGCCCTAGTTCCCTCCTCATCGCCGCGAGCAATTCCAGAAGTTCACAGAAATTTTGCTGTCGAGCGAGGGCGTAGGGAAAGGGGTTCTAGTCTTAATAGTACAATGAACCCGCCCCCCCCTTTGCAATGTGCCCTGACAAAAGACATCGACTCGAAAAAAATCCTTTCTCAGACTGAATGCGACCCCCCCTGTTGGGAAGTCCGCAACAACGGTGTGCCCTGGATACTGTCGTTGCCATTACGCGATGAGAGCGAATTGCCGAATATCATCTCACACTATCTGCGAGCACTTCATCGTTCGAACCAGTTAGCTGTCGGCTTTTTTAGTCAACTTCATTTGGGTATCATGCAGGTGACTCGTGCGTGGAGGATAGCGGTCAGGTCATCCAAGCACACCGGATTTTCGCCGCTTGCGTGACCTCATTAGAGTGATTCGGGACCTGTTTCCGAACAGTAATCGATCACAGGTATCAAGGATATTACGCAAAATTGTTCTAGAGTTTGCTCTTTTGGGGAGCAGCCGATGTAGTCTTGTGAGACTCTGTTTCAGGAAAGTCAGGTTTTCCAGAGTGATTTTGCAATTTGTTCGTCCCAATCTTCCACGTAGGGAGCAATTGTTCAGAGAGTTATTAGAGTAATGCAACTACTGGATAATGGTAACTTTAAACTGTTCCACCGTCCCTGTGGCGAGAAATAGCGCTTGTCAGCCTGACCTTTCGGAGACTTGCACTCAGGGCACGTCATCGTTGTGATGATCACAGGGGGGGGGAGGGTCGTATCTGACCGCGAGGGAGGGTAGTCGTATTTGGTCTGAGGAAATTTTTTTAATAGTTGATTTCTCTTGTTTCACGGACGCTATAAAGGGGGGGGGGTCGTATTTGGTCGTTGTTGGGAGAGGGACTGCCAAAGATCTATACAACTACTATTTCCGACGATAGTTGAAAATGATAGTTAAATCCTGACGACCCCCCCCCGCTCGACAGCAAAATTTTGGGGAAAAAACCAGAAATTTTCGGGAAAAAAGGAGAAAGTGGTAGGAAGTCGGGAACATCTAGGAATCTGGTAGATAGCATGGGGAGGTGGAGGGACGGATGGAATAAGGGGGGAGTCGTATTTTCCAGAAATTGATCACAACGCGATGGCGTGCTTGCTTGCACTACTTCCTTAATAAATGAGTATAGCATTAAAAA